GTCTTGTGCTTGGGGAACGGCCCGGTAATGTCCATGGCAATCGCTTCCCTTCGGCGCAAGGGGACCGGTAATGGTCGCAACTCGCCGTACGAACGATGATTGTGAGGTTTGCAACGTCGGCAAACTTCGCATGACTCGCAGTAGCGCGTGACGTCGTCGAGGAGACCGGGCCACCAAAGGCGCTCGCGGAGTCGGCCAATCGTGCGATTGACTCCAAAGTGTCCGGTGGCGGGGGCGTCGTGGAACTCGCCAAGAAGCCACGTGAGCAAGTGTGAATCTTGCGGCACACAAAGTAGATCCTTCCCCCGCGAGTGAAGAAGCAAGTATCCCTCTTGGATCCGATAGTGCGACGACGCCGGATTGGGAGAGGAACAGTTTGCGTACTTGTCGCGAAACTCGGGGTCGGCTTGATAGCCGCGGATGAAGCCGTCCCGCAAGTCGTCCTCGATCTCGAAGGTTGAGTAGACCGCGGTGCAGTGGTCCGGACGCCGGGAAAGGGCATCCGCGAAACGGTTCGACTTCCCCGGAATGTGATCGGGAAAGAAGTCGAATTGGTCGATGAAGGCCATCCAACGGGCGATGGTGTTGTTGACGGTGTCTTGAGACTTGTAGAAGACCAACGGATTGTTGTCCGTTACCCATCGGAACTGGCGTCGACCGAGGAGGAAGTGCCGCCATCGCTTGAGTGCGTGAACGAAGACGAGAAGTTCCTTCTTGCGTGCATCATCGATGGAGTGCACGGGCGGCACCTTCTTGCTGAAGTATTCGACCGAGTGCCAATCCACGCCGTCATGTTGCTCGAGGACGGCACCAATGTCATAGCCAGACGCATCCGTGGTGACGCGTGTTGGCAAGAGCGGGTCGTAAATCCGCAATACCTCCGCGGAAAGCAAGGCGGCCTTGAGGGCCAAGAATGATTCTCGCGCGTCCGTCCCGAAGTCAAACGGTCGGTCCTCGCATTGAAGCTTGGTCAAGTGAGCCGTGATCTTCGAGTACCCTTTGATGAATCGTTGGTAGTAGCCAGCAAGGCCAAGGAAAGATCGGACATCCGTAACATTCCGAGGCTCCGGCCAATCTTGGACGGCTTGAATCTTGTCCGACAACGGACTGATGCCTTGTGGAGTGACAAAATGGCCCAAGTATTCCAACTCTTGACGCACGAACTCGCACTTGTCGTGGTTGGCTTTGAACTTGGCACGCCGGAGTCTCTCCAACACTCGTCGAAGATGATCCAGATGTTCCTCCAAGGTCCGGCTATAGACGAGAATGTCGTCCAAGTAGACCATCACGAACCGGTCCAACATTGCGCGGAACTCGTTGGTCATCGCCGCTTGAAAAGTCGCCGGGGCGTTGGTGAGTCCGAAAGGCATCATGACCCACTCAAAGTGCCCATACCGTGTCTTGAACGCGGTCTTGTAGCGATCTTGCGGCCGAATCGAGATTTGATGGTATCCCGACTTCAGGTCCAGTTTGGAGAAGAACTTCGCGCCGCCCAAGCGCTCCAAGAGGTCGTCGATACGAGGAAGAGGTCCCGCGTTCTTGACGGTTTGCGCATTGAGCTTGCGGCAATCGATGCATAAGCGAAGGTCCTTGTTCTTCTTTCGAACGAAGAGAACAGGCGCACCGTAGGGTGAACTACTAGGCCGGATCCAGCCTTTGTCCAATAAGTCGTCGAGCTGCGCGCAGAGTACTGTAAGTTCCTCCTCGCTCATGCGATAGATGCAACCTTTTGGCGGCACGGCACCGGCCTCAAGAATGATCTCGTGTGAGATCGGCCGATCCGGCATCACGCCGGTAGGTGACTCGAAGACATCGGCGAATTCGTCGAGCAACCGCACCACCCGGGAGTCGGAAGACAAGTCCGTGGCTTGAGAATCGGCTGCCGCGATGGTTCGAAGAAAACATAAGCCAATCTCGTCAGTCCGCTCGTAAGCGCAAGTGGCCCGAAAAGATTTGGTGGTTACAACTTGGCAACGGATCGAAGGGTGCGGAGGAGGAATGGTACACGGTACTTCGGTGCCGAACGCGTCGCGAACCGTAAGAGTCCGCCGATGGAAGTTGACCGTGTGATCCGCACTAGCGAGTCAAGGCATGCCCAAAATGATGTCGAAGTCCGTATCCAAGACGTCGAACGTCACCGGTTCGCATGCATGAGGTGCGAAATAGACCGGGATGGCTTCGATGTAGCGATCAAGGAGTTGTTGCGTCCTTCCGTCCGCCAACTTGATCGACGTAGGGTGTGCCTTCCTTCGAACTTGTGGTCCAAGGCCGGCCCTTTGCATGAAGGACTGGCTAATGAAGTTGCGAGTCGCGCCGCTATCAAGCAAAGCGCTGCAGGACGCTTGCCCGATTTGGATGCGGACGTAAAGGAGCGGTGCATTGTTGTCGTCATACCGCTGCGTGCGAAACTCGCGGGCCACCTTGCTCACATAAGCAAGAATGTCCCCCACCGCGACCTCGTCCTTCGTAGGCAAAGTTGGTGGTGCATAGAAGGCCAAGTATGTATGTAGATGATCGCGAAGAGCGGCGCATTGCGGCTCCGGTAAGCAGCCGGTGGAAGGGAGAGGAAGCCATGCAAAATCCTCGGGCGTCAACGGGTCCAAGTCCTCAATGTTGAACGCGTGCGCCGAATCCCGTGAAGGTCCACTTGAAGACGAATCAATGCAGCTGCTACCGATCGGAGAAGAGACCGCACGTACATCTTGTCCTTGGGCTCGTGGAATCAGCGAAGGTACGAGCCGGGCAGCATAGTCCTCGAACGAATGAAGAATGGGAGGACTTACGACGTCCGCATGTGCCCCGGGACCGAGGGAGGTTACTCACGCGGTAACCGGTTCCGAAGGCGTCGAGAGTGCCGTCGCAACACTCTCGGCGGTGCTCACTTTCCCGACTGGGCGGGACCCTTGGCCTTTGTGGGACAACTCGCTGACTCATGAGCGGAGCTATTGCACCACAAGCAATAACGGTACTTGGTGCGAATTTTATATGCGCGTGGCAACAAACCGTATGTTGTCCAAGGGCCTTGTTCTTGAGCTGCCTGTCTGGGCCCAGAAGAAGTATTGGTGGTTGTCTTCGGCTTGCCGCGTCCTCGTCCTTTGGCGTGGCGGCCACCATTCTGGGCAGCTGCTAGTGTGTCTTCCTGATCAGATGAAGCAGCCTCGTTCGAAGAAGTTGAAGGGTCGCTAGGCGTTGCTGCTGCGACCACGGCCACCTTGGGCCGATGCTGATGCGTGCCCTGGCCGGCAGATGACGAAGGGCCCGTGTTCTGGGCGGCCAGATTCGTGACAATGATCTGCGCAGCCTTGTTGAAGAGCTCCTCACTTGTGGTGAGGGTGTCCGCGACGTGAGTCAACGCGTTCTGCAATGCCGGGCACGACCGCTTGATGAAGTACAGCTTGATGCCGTCGAAGTTCATCGGCAACTTGGGCGTGATAGCCAAGCGTTGGAACTCAGAAATCCAATCACCGCTTGGCAGATTGTTCTGCGAAAACGTCAGCAACTTGTCCATCGCGAGGTGCTCCGGCGGTTCGACTTGGAAACGCTTCTTCCACGCCGCCGTGAGATCTGCCCAGTTGATGTACTTGTGCAGTTCGGTGACTGTACAGGCATGTGCGGACAGCATGTTATCCATCCATGCTTGGCACGCTCCTCCCGAACGGGAGTACAGATATGCATGCCTGTTTGTGTCGATCACGTGGTGAAGGTCCAGCTTGAGTTCGAACTGACGCCACCACGGTATGGGGTCCGTCTTCGATAAGTCACAGAAGATCGGAAGCCCGTCAAATTTGACAATGGATTCCCGTGGCGTCGAGCTGGAGCCGGCGGCGGTGCAGACATGTTGCGCCCCGGTCTTGAGTACTCCCATGTCAATCTCCAAAACGTTGACGCGGTCGAAGAGGTCGGAGGGACCGGCGCCGGAGTTGGCGGTAGCAAGCTGCTGCTCCAGCTGCTGGATGCGCTGGAGCATCTTGTCCATGGACTGTTGTTGCACCTGGTTGGTGTGGTCGAGCGAATGGATATCCTCCTGCTGCGCAATACAAGTAGCAAGGAGGTCCGTGACGCGGTTGAGTAGTTGAGACACTCT